CACAATACTCGCTCATTATGAAATTGCGTCACATCACCACTGTAGCCAAAACCTGTTTAGGGACGAATCGATGTTTACAAATAAGATCCTGGCGACGCTCCGACACATTTTACCTGCAAAACAAAACACGCGAAGCAAAATAATTTCTAATGTGCTTCGACTCTGCGCAGTGTGACACAATAGTCGAGACACGAAGCGCGAATTACGTAACTGTATCTATACTCCGAGCTATATACTATAAGGCTGTTCACAATAAATGCAAGAGAGGCGTAGGTGCGAAAGCGAGTCTTAGTATACAAGAGCCCGGCACAAAATCACGTGTGCCATGCGTTCCGATGGCCTTGACATTGTCGACTCGAGACGCGTAATATCGCCACGTGTTTCGACGTTCTTGCCCCTTTTTTTGCTCCTCGCGTTTGCAAAGAAATGTAAAAAAATCGGCAGGAGAGAGAAACAGAAAAACTGAAACGCCCATTCGTCTTTAATGTATATTTATCGATTTACAACGATGACTGGGACAATCTCGGACGACAACGTCGAGCGGCAGGTGAATATTCGATTCGATTTTACAAGAAAAATGTGTGCGGATGTTCGAGACTTGTTTCTCTCTTTCTTTTGTAAAACTCTCACCTGGCCTTGAACGAAACGTTTATTTTCTACCTGTGCTGCGCGATCTTAAAAATAAAACTACCGGTTCGCTTCACTCGCACGTGTGCCCTTTTTTTGTCCAATCATAAGAAGTTAATTTTTCGAGCATATTCTTGCTTTGTTATGAATTTGCCACATTCGAGAATAAATTCGCTCCGTCTGTAACTGCAAGTGTTTAATGAGTGCTGCAGCCGAGTAGCAGTTGTTGCCGCTGCCACGATGCACAAAGAGGCCTATTTTTGGAACTACGTACGCAAACGCCTGCTGCACATGCACGCGCGTATTTAATGCATATCGATGCCGCGACGTAAACACCGAGGGGGAACAACGCTGGGTCTGTTCCGCTCTGCACATACAGGCATACACATAATAATATATGGGTCACACATGTTTTTCTTTGCATCTTCTTCGTCTTGGCAAAATCGTTCCCTTCTCCGAGTCTCTCATTCTCTACTTAGCTGCGTGTGTATATTTCGCGCGCGTAAAAACCCATATCGGGTCATTTGTCCTATTGTGTGTGCGTATACACGTGCTGGAATTCTTTCGTTCATCCTCGCATCGCCACGCTGGGAGCCTTTAAAATCAAACTCAAAACAATTACAATGGGAAATACACACTTTATAGGAGCGACTCAGCTCAGCTTCGCATGACTTACAATATCAAGCGTATTCGCAGTTTAAACAGAGTTTATTAAAAGAAAAAAAGTGACTCGCTCGACTGTTTTTGCGCAAGCTAATACATTGCGATCGGCTTACAGTCCGCGCGCTTGAATAATAGTAATTATATCGTTATTCGATAATATAAAATGCCTCGAGGCAGTGTCGTATGGGCGCGAGAAAACATCCGGCATGTATAAACTGTATAAGATCCCCGACGACACCTAAGATAAACGTATCGGAGTACAAAAAATTGACATTTACAATGTTACCAGGAGTGTGCGTGTGCCGTAGACAAACGAGAGAGAGAAAAAAAAGAGATACTATTATAGCTACGTTTATAAAACAATAGAGAAACATCGATGTCTTTTCTTCTTCTTCTTTTTCTCGATATATGCAGACTTATGCATGTATACATTGCTGCAACCTTGACTGGCAATTGTGAGCGCGAGCGAGTCGAGTGAGCGACGTGACGATGGAATTCGCTAGCTCGGGAGAAAAAACATAACGAACTCGAGTTGCATCCAGAATTTGTCGGATTCTTGCGCGCTTGAAATCGACGAGCAACGAGGAAAGAGCTCTGGCTAGCCGTCTGCACCGATTCAATTTTTCACGATGCATAATTCATGCGCGTCACCGAGACGAGCCTACGGTACATGCGTGCCCCGACAGCTCTGAGAATCGACGATATCAGCACGGCTTTGATTGATTTTCTTTTCATCTATGTATGGTGCATACGCGGTCCGAAATGGACACGGATAGAGCATTAATATCCGCGCAGGGATTACGAAAAATCAATCGCCATCGGAATTGGAGCTATTGCAACTATTGAAATATGCAAATGGCAATTTGAGCGCGCCTATATAATTATTGTCTAATCAATCAGTGCTCGCTCGCGGCTCGCAAACCGACTTAGCTGTACGACGAGACTTGGCAAGGTTGAATTAATACCGTCGATTTGCGCGGAGCGCGCAAAAAAATCATCGTCGCGCGGCGAGACGCTTATATGCTCTATTATTTCGATAAATGCGCTTGAATTTCCTCCGTAAATGCTGTACGTTGACTCGAGCTGCACAGCCTGGTGATAGTAGGTTAAAGTATAAATTTTCTAAAAAAAAAGTTGAACCGGTCGACATTGTAGTTTATACACGTGCACATTATGGGTATTGGCCGCAGGCGAGCTCGCGAAGACGACGTAGTCGACGGGGTCAAGCGATCACTGGGTTATGTTCTGGATGCGATACATCAGAGGCTGCAGCTGCGCACAGAGGAGCGAGTTCCCGTTGGCTGTGCTCCTTTATGACGTTAACACGGATAGCTCGCGCCGGGACACCGAGTCGTCGACGCACTGTCTGCCGTTCCAGATCCGATATTGTCCTCGAGAGCTGCAATGCAGCAGCAGCAGCAGCAACATAAACTCCAACTTTTCTGGCTTGCAAAATTCCCTTCGAAGTAAACAGGAGTGGGGACGGGGGCATTGCTTCATTATCTTTATAAGACGTGCATGCGGGAACGCGCCGCGACAAATTGCAGGCTGCGGCGTCGGTGCGTGCTAGATGAACATTAATTCATAAGTATAGCCTGCCGTTCTCGCCAGAGACAGCCTCGATACATTATGATACACGATGCACTATTACCTTTCCCGCAAATTCAACGACTCTTGTATTAGCTCGTTCATTTTTTCATTTTCATCGAGTGCGACTCGATGTGTGTGCGTGTGTGCGTGTGTGCTCGATGAGAAAATAATTGTCGACAAAATGATGATCTTGACTTTTTGTCAAAAATTTTCATTTCTATATTACAGCGCGTAATAAGCAAGCTGTTTAAAGCATGTATCGTCAATTGATTTTGCGAAAATATGAATTTTTATGCAGCATCTATTGGCGAAATCGCATCGTATTTTACTCGGGGATCGCTGGCGACATTTTCTGCTCGACGTGCGCGACAATGTTTGTCCTATACAGTCAGCCACGAGTAATTAAGCGACAACGACTGCGCGCGTCTATTTTCGGTTTTCTCGAAAATTTAACTATTCCGCGGACAGTGGCAGCTCGTGTAGCATTGAAAAAATTACCGCCCGAGATGCGAAAGCATCACGCGTGTGTTACGAAAATTGCCTTGGCACCTTTTTCGAGCTGCGCTGCGATCGAAAGACGCATGCACGCGCTTGAGTTATGCACCGCGTATAGGTATACGCGTGCACATACAGATCTGCAAACGCGCCTACGAGCACAGGTGAATTTTCCCTATGTATACTTCTCTCGCCCGCGCACACATTTCACGCGCGATTCACAGGCTCTGGTTCGAAATTTCGAACAATTAGTTCGCGTCTCGGACTGCAGTTAATTTTTGGCCGATTATAAATACGTCGAGTGGCAAGTGTCGGATTTATTTATAGCCTCGCGCGCGCGAGAAAGAAAGGAGCAATGCGCCGCGATGACGATTCACACTGATTAAATTAGCGGGCAGAAGCGAAGCGATTGGCGCCTCGAGTCCAGACATCTGATTACGCTAAAGTCGCCCGTCAATTATATATACGCTCTCGGGAAAAGGAAAAAAACGCACAAGAGACATTCGGAGTCGAGTTGCATTCGAGATCGATTCTGCTGTACGCTCTCTCTCGGCTTTGGCAGTGGCCCAGTGTTGTGCTCTGCGATATCTGCATGCACGCCCATCATCGTCATCCTCGTCATCGCAGCACACGCGTCGCAGTGTGCACCTCGCAGCAGCTCGATCGGACGAGATTATACACGCATACACGACGGAGAGAAATGAAACTTTAAGAAACGCGCACACGGCAATTTTTCATTTATAAATAGAACCAAGCAGCAGCGAGTATGCAGCAACGCGTCGTCCTAATAATGTACCGCATCTCCGACGAGAAGCTTTCAAAATCCCTCGACGCTCATCGAGCCGACCGCAGCGTTCCTCGCGCGATTTCGTGCATATACACATACATAATACCATTGCGGAGTACACTTAATACGCTGTTGTTTTTCGACAACGACTTGACCGAGAGAGCCGACCGAGAGATTTGACTAATGCTACTGTCGACTACGTCGGAGTGACGAAATACTCTCGCTTCGAATCGTCATCCGTATGGGGCTTTGTTTGATTATTCAGCAGTGACGATATTCTACGCTTCAATTACGTACGACGTTATATACCCCGACTTTTGTCGCTAAGAATAGCGACGGAAGTAATAATGAGCGAAAATACGTACACACGTATACGAGCTTTCTCGCGCGATATTTTTTTTTTTTTACTTTCGGAAGTTGACGTCGTAAAGGACTACGAGTGTTACGAGCTTCTATCCCCAAATAAGTGCCATGGGTACGAGCTGAGCTCGTTCATAATCATCACGCGCTTTGGTGCGCTAGCAAAGCTCGCGAGTATCGGTTGGCCCTCTTCTGATCAGCTGACAGCTTTACGGCTCGACGCGCGCATACACCCCGCTATTATATACACCGCACTGTCAATGAAACGGCGATATTTTCTAAAATTCTCTCTCGAGCGCTGTTGGCGGCGTGTGACCCTACGCGTCTAAAATTGTATACATTTATTATTAATTGCAAAGGCGTTGCCGATGTCAAGGAGACGCGCCATACGGAGGCACGCGCGAATCTTAAAATTTAGGCCATTCGCGACCATTCAATTGCATATTTCTTTATTTTACCTTTCTGCTTTCTGTTACAGTTGTCTACTGCGACTATACTGCCACAGGCCGATCTCTGCAGTTTCTCGAAGACTACATCGTAAAAGAAGTACTGCCGTATTTAGGTGATACAAGGGCTTCCACGACAATATGCAGCCTGCAGTCGTCGCTCTACAGGTATATATAATATTATATAAAATGCATTTTCGAATTACTAAAGTGTAGCCACTATCTGCATGCCGTGGCAGTCTCGCGAGTCATCGACCTCGCGTCAGTGTGCCGCGCACAGGCTGTTTCGCGCATGCTATATGCCGCATAGGGATTTCATACACCCGGACAGTAGTGCCTGGCTCGAAGTCGCGCGCACTGAAAATCGATAAATATTTCTAGAACACACGAACAGGTGAGAGAGAGAGAGAGAGAGAGAGAGAGAGAGAGAGAGAGAGAGAGAGTATATAAATATACTGAACTGACATGCACCAGTGAGATGGAGATGCGCGTTCGACATTTTCCATCGCTTCCGCTTTTGTATCATACACGTGCATACGTGTAGCATATGCGCGAGCTAGACGCGCGGCTGACACAATGTACTCCGCGCCGCTGTATTTGCTCCACTAACTCATTCACGTAACTCCGAACTCCCGTGCGCGAGCTCGCATTTAATCAATTTTATATTATAGCTCGCGTACAGAACCTGTCCCCAGAGCAGCTATATAACATAACGTTTCGTGCATTATTACACACTCGTTACGATACAGTACCTATGTATAATATAATACGCGACTCTAGCTGTGTTACAGCACACGCGGGCGTATAATGCACTCTCGTGTTTCGCATTAGTATAATAATAGTGTAAAGTCGGATCTTACGTAATACGTGGCGCGGATTATCGTCCATGCCGGTATATTTATAGGATAAACGAGCACAATGTAAATTGTACACCGAGCGTAGCTCGCAAGCTCACGGAGCTTTCGATTCGTTACGCGGGCCTTTTCACGGAACGAAAGCTCGCCTCGGCGTCGAGAGACCATATGTAAATGGATTCGGCAAATTTACCTATACTTAAAATTGTATTTTCGAGCTCTCGTGTGGCTTTCCGCTGAAATTCTGCCTCACGCGAGGCCCGCGCGTAATATACTCGTGGATTTATGCACCGTACACTCGCATAATAGTCGGCTGCTGCTGCTGCTGCTGCTCTCTACTCCCCGTGCATGCGTCGAGTTTATACAAACTGACCCCGTTTTGCTGTGCGCGCCTCGCGTCATCGTCATCTCTCTCACTCGCGAGCTTTGGTGTTGTTCGCAAAACCCGAGAGTGCAGTGCACCGCATTGCGCTATACGCTCGCATGCAGCGCTTGCAGTCATTGGCCGTACAAAGAGTCTCGGGAAGCTAGGCTTATAATGTCACGCGCGCACTCCGACTCGTTCTTCTGCTTCTTCTCCTTCTTCCCAGCAGCGCAGTGACTGAATATCTGCGACGAATATCTCGAAGCTTTGCTTTTTTTTTCTTAGGACAACGAGCCACGTATAGCGATGGGTCTCCTTATACCATTCGTATTGTTGAGAGCTTTTTTAAAGCCCGCCTCTCTTGGGATATATACATCTTTGTGGCGCAGCTTTTTTCCCCTTGCTTTCTCTGCATATATTGCAAACGCGCTTTTGTGCGCGTACAAAGCACCCAGCCACACGGCAATGCGAGCGTCGATTGCGTTTCTGCATTTTCGCGAGTGCACGCGGGCCAAGATTTTAGTCGAAATAGGTCGAGCTGATGTATAATTTCCAAAAACATCTCAATACAAGTGTCAACTTGTCGCCGGACAGATTTCTTGGTCGTTTGCGCGCGATATGATTAATCGCTCGAATTTGCTCGGGCGCCCGAATTACGCGCGTTTTTCTCTTCTCGGCCGCGTAGCTATAATTCAGACTCTACGATTCAACGCGCGACCCGAGACAGCTCTCTACTAACTCGACGTTAATCGCATTGCAGGCACGAAGCCAGAGGAATAGTGCGCCACGCGGTCGGCGCTGGAGACCAAGACGCCGTGCTGTTCACGGGCCAAGGCACGGCCGGTGCTCTGCGCTGTCTGCTGCGAAATCTCGATCTCAGCACGCCCACCTGCGTCTTCGTCGGTCCGTTCGAGCATCACGCGAATCTCAGACCTTGGCGCGAGTACCACGTTAGGGTGAGTATACATATATTTGGCTAACGTAGTGCGTCAGAACACGACGACGCAGTAATTGCCATACGAAATTCGAGGCCAAACGCACGATTTTGACCTTGGCTCAACGGCGTAATTGTTTTTACAGCTGGTGCGCATCGACGAGACCAGAGAGGGCTTCCTCGATCTCAATGACCTGGAGCGCAAGCTCATCAAAGAGCGCGCGGAAAATCCCACGTCCCGGATGATCGGCTACTTCAGCGCGGCCAGCTGCATCACCGGCGTGCTCGCCGACGACGTGGCCACCACCTTGTTGCTCAGGCAGTACGGGGCTCTCAGCATCTGGGACTACACCTCGGCAGCTCCTTACGTCAAGATGGAGATGAATCCGAACCTGCCGGGCGTGGTCGAGACGTCGGTGCACAAAGACGCCATCATTTTCGCCGGCCACAAGTTCATCGGTGGAGCTCAGTCGCCCGGTGTTCTGGTGGTCAAGCGCAGCCTCCTCAACGAGGACATCACGGCCGAGGACATGCGCGACTCGCATCGCTACCTGCGCGACCCCGAGCTCCGAGACGAGAGCGGCACCGCGGGCGTCATCGAGGCCATCAGGTGCGGCCTGGCCGTCCATCTGAAGGAGAACGTGACGCATCAGGCCATCGCCGCGAGGCAGGAGAAGATCACCCGTCAGGTCTTGGCGCACGTGCGCACCATCCCCGAGCTGACGCTGCTCGGCTGCAGCTCGCAGAACATCAAGCGCTTGCCGACTTTCTCCTTCATGGTGCGACATCCGCGCGGCACCTATCTCCATCACAACTTCGTCTGCGCCGTGCTCAACGACGTTTTTGGCGTCCAGGCCCGTGGGGGATGCGCTTGTGCCGGCAGATACGCCCACGACCTCATGGGTATCGATCACAAGCTGGCTAAAGAATACGAGGCGCTGCTCTTGCATAGGAGGTTTGTCTCGCTCGATCCTATCTACGTATACGAGGACCATTTTTTATATTGAAAATACAATAAATCTCACGTTGTTTTTTAGTGAATTAAACACTCACGAAGATACGAGTGCAGAAACTCTGCGTCCTGGCTTCGCCCGACTAACTTTCCCGTACTTCATGTCCGAGGCAGAGGTTGCCTTCGTTCTCGAGGCCCTGAAGATGGTCGCCACGGAGGGCTGGAAACTGCTGCCGCAGTACGTGCTCGATCCCGAGAGCGGCGAGTGGCGCCACCACACCAACAGCGTCTTCAAGGATCGTCGCTGGCTCGGCGCGATTCGCTACACCGACGGTCGCATGAGCGCCACCGAGAGGCGCATCTCCGGCGCCGGAGTCTTTCCCCAGAGTCACGGCGACTGCCTGCACACGGCGCGCAACACCTTCAATCGAGCCCGCAAAATGGCCCAGAGGAGCCAGATGCAGGTCGAGCGCAGCGTTTTCTACGACGAGAAGAGCGAGTCCCTCAGGTGGTTCATGCTGCCGCACGAGGCGCAGGATCTTTTACTCGGCCATTCGCAGAACGTCAAGCACAACGTACCCTTCGATCCATCTAACTACAAGCTGGCTTTACTCGAGGCTTCCTGGTAATTATCCTCAACGACGCATCCCATCCATTTGAGTGAGAACATGCGTGTTTCATCGGCTCGATGTTTATGTTACAGCGGTATCCGTAGGTTGAACAGCGACGGTCCACGGCCAGGATACAACCCACACAATCCGCCGATAGTTAACTCGCCGCGTCACCGGAGCTTACCGGCCCTCAGTTGTCCGGTTGAATTGAAGATTCGACAGCGAAGCGGCAGCACGAAATTGGACGACGAGGAGCCACCTCTGCTGCTTCTGGGTCAAAAGTCACCAGCCACTTGTCCCACCTCGCCCATGCCAACCACGAAATTTGCCGTCGGCGAGGCCGTTACAACCGCTGCTGCAAGCATTTTAGGTGGGTTACACATACACACAACACCGAGACAAGAAAAACAGCTCCGCTCTTGTTATCGAATGTATCAAATGACAGTAGAGTCTCTGTGCACGCCACTCATTGTATGTTAATGGAATCTTTGTCCGCTGAGCTAGAAACTTTTCCGTCGTCGACATTTCCAATCAAAAAAGTCTAGTCTTTGTTTGTGCGCGATGTAGCGGAGCTCATACGTGTGCATCATCGACACGTGACGATGCTCGATAACAATCTCATAATATCGATTGTTCAACAGGCACGAGTCCGGTGAAGAGTTGCACGATCGCCACGGTAAACACAGACGCCAGTCCAACCAAACAAGAGGATACAAAATCATCGACCAGTGAGAGCAACAACAGCGACGAGTCCGATGCCTTGTCTTTCGTCGCTCGCACTCGTTGCAACTCGCTCGGCAGTTCGGCAAATTGTCGCTCGAGGAGCGCCTCCAATGGTACTACCAGTACACCGGTGCCGATACCACTGAGTCCGCAGACTTTGGCCAGTTTGGGTATTGCAGCCACCAATGGCGCCAACATGCGGCATCGTCACTGCAGTTGTAGCAGTCAAACGGACCTGAATGGATCGCTCGATCCCGAGAATAATAATTGTAGCCCCGGCAGATCTGCATCTTCGCTGGGACATGTGCCTAACACCTCACCTGGTAAGATTTTTCTCAATTACATTTTTCCAATTAAATGCTCGTTTCAACGTAATATACATTTTTCGTACTAATTAGGTGGTTCTTGTTCGTCTTCCTTTGAATCGGCACTGAGCGGCACTAGACTCGGACGATCGTCTCCCGTATTATCGTGCGGAATGAGCCACAGTTCGGAGGACGATTTGCGCGCCTATTTAACAGAGGTCACCAAAGAATTAGCAACCGAGATCAAGTCCGAAATTCGTGAGGTCATTTCTAAAGTCGACGATGCGCTGTCTGAGACCATCACCAACGATTCGAGCGTGCTTTATCCGCGTCAAGTTGAAAAACAGCAACAACAGCAGCAGCAACAACAGGATTCGTCTTTCACAGCCAGCGACATAGCCGACTACCTCATGGAACTTTCCAAAGAGATGGCCAGCGAAGTTAAGTCGGAGATCCGATGCATGGTCAATTCCGTCGATGGATTGAACAGGTGAGTTTCATGCAAGCGATGAATGGCAATTTTGCAACCGCCTTCTCGTTACGTTATTTTTTGGTTGTCTGCGACATGAAACATCAATTAAAGCGCTGCACAACTCGAACTAACTTCAAACTTTTTTTCATTAATTTTTTTGTTGCAAAGTAAGAAGAAATGTCATGTTTATTTTCAGTGTTTGACGTCACACGTTACTTCCTCCCGATGAAGTTTATTAGTACAACGAACTTTGAAAAAATTGGTGATTACTCAATGGTTTTTTGTTTTTTCTCTACTTTCTGTGTCGCTAACATACTTTCTTGTTTCCCTTAATTGAAATGTACGTCCGTACACAGACGTGTTTACATGTAAAGGCGACAAGCACGCGAATCTCGAAACGTGCATTTTTGTGTTCATCCCATACACGCTTGTTCATGTCTTATTATCATATACATAACAAGAAGTCGACGAGCTCCCGCAGCTACGTTGACAGTCTACAATGAAACTCACAAACTACTGGTGATTTTTGCAGGTACTCGCCGGATGACAAGTCGTCTTCGGGTTGCGCCTCGCCGTCGGAACGCCGTCGTGGCTTTTTCCATAGCCAAAACTCATCGCGATCGCGCACCCCCATACTGCCGAGCAGCAAAGTCAGTGAGCTCGCTCAGCAGGACAGCAAGATGTCTTCCGAGTGCTCCTCCGACGAGACCGTCATCTACGTGGTTAAATCATCGTCGAGCAGTGCTGACAAGGACAGCAGCGGCGACAAGAAGCGAGTCAAGAGTAACACCGACGACGAGGAGGATCACAGCGAGCCGGAAAAGGCCCTGCCACCGAAGATCTATTCGACCGTCAATTCGGTCAGCTCGCAGGACAGCGGAATCAATTTGTCGTTTCACGAGAGCGACCGATCAGTCGATGGTACGCTCGGACCGGAGTTGGGTCGCAGTAGCAGTGCCGAGTCTACGTTCTCGCGACGGCCCCGTTTTCACACGACAACCTCGAGTAACTCGCTGCCTCTTGGCAAACCCGCCTATCGAGCTAATCAAAATGACGATCTGTCCGAGGACGACGAGATATTTTTCTCTGCCTCGCAGCAGCACAGCAGTGGCGAGAGTAGTGCCGGTGAAGAGCAGCTTGGAATAAATGGTAGCAGTCTGTGGCACTGTCCACCGAAAAATATTTGGAAACCTGCGGTCGAAGCCATGCAAGAGTACGACATGGTTAAAGACGGAGATCGGGTCCTCTTGTGCTTGGCAAGCAACGGCAAGAGTTCCATGACACTACTCCACACTCTACATCAGTACCGATTTTATGCGCGATCCAAGGGTATCGAGTTCGAGATCGGTGTCGCTAACGTGACAACGAGCGAAGACGAGGACTCTTCTGCAGCAGTTGCATACTTCGAGGCTCTGTCGGTGCCCTACTTCTCCGAGCCCGTCACCAAAGATGAATTGACAGAGAAACCTGTATCAGCGTCTTGCACGACTTTTTGCGAAAAACCAATCAGAGCCAAGCTCTACAATTTAGCAAAGAAAAATAATTACAACGTGTTGGCGCTTGGGCAAAATCTAGACGATCTCACTGAAGGATTTTTGGGATCAGTTTTCAGTCATGGTAAGCTACGAACCATGAAAGCACATTACTTCATCAGAGAGCAAGAGCTTCGAGTAATCAGGCCCTTCGTGTACGTTAGAGAAAAAGCACTGGTGCAATTTATCGAAAGCAAAAAGCTACCCATTTTTAAGGAAACTCTTCCCTTGGAAACAATCCAGGTGCTTACTCGTTTAAATGTAATTAATATTGCATGAGCAATTTTCTAAGTGTAGTAACACATCGATATTTTTACAGAAAAAAAGTGACGACCTGATAAGCCGTCAAGAGGCCTCGCATCCACGTGTGTACTGGTCGATACGCTCGGCCCTGCGACCGCTAATCTCGGCACAGAATTTGAACACCGAAAACGAGTCGCCGTCACAGAAACGTCAGCATCAACATAGGCGGCCGCGCACCAACTCGTTCAACAATACGTCGTCCAACAGTCCAAGCTCGACAACGAGCAGTAGCTCGTCAATCTCTTCGATGGCCTCCTCGACGCAACAGCCGGAAGACGAAGAGACGGACGAGGAGCCGGTTTTGTGAAATTCGTCGCTGGAGCTCGTCGATTGGAGCTCCTCGACGACGAGGCGGCGCAGTCTTTTCGCCACTAAACGGCTCGGTAATGCCGCACGACAATACTAGGGGCGAAAAGAGGCACGCACGCACATTCCGATTTTTTAAGAATAAGACACCGATTAAAAGGGTGATAAATACTCTTAAACACACATACGTTGTTCAAAATTAAACCTCAGAAAAGATGTTTTCTAATTGGCCACTTGTGAAGATGTCGTAGTTTTAATTACATTAAAATAATGTTTTGAATCAACTTTAAAAAGTTCATGTCGCGTACAAGTTGAGCTATATAGTAAAGTGGCATTGACTGAATTGAGGTTACGCAACGTGCCACCGAGTGATACGTGTATATTTCTTCTTTTTTCATTGTAAATGTCTCATCCGTCACTTTCTCTCTCTTTTTTTTGTCTGTCTTTCTTTCTTAATCTTCGATTGTCGTTGTTCGCAAGCTCGTACGCACACGCGATTATTTTTTATATTTTTATAAATGGAGGTGTGCGTGCAAGCGCGTGATCATCGTTAAATTGTGATTTCGAGCTTTCGTACTTGAATTTTTACAAAAAGAATTACAATGAAAACTGAAGTTTTCCATCGTTAAGACTAAAATTTAATCTAATAAAGAATGATACTTTCTCTTTTCCATTTTTGCTAATCTTTCCTATTGTGTTGCGACTTTTTATTCAATTATGCGAATTATTGTATTAAGGGTTCTTCTTTATACCAGATTTAGCTTTTGCAATTGTCGCAACGCATTGACTCTATACATACTCCGTAGCTTTCGTTCGTTTTATTAAACTTATTTATTGTGAGGGCAAAAGCAACATTAGCATTTTACAAACGGTGTAAAATATTTAGTGTATATTGCTCGGCGCTTTAAAAGGTATATTCCTCTTACGCTGTATTATACAAAGAAAAAAATGAAAATAAAAACAAAATGTGGCAGCATTTCAACTGTCGTATTATGGCCTTTATGATTTTAAGGACGTAAAAATGCTAAGCTAATGATGAAAAAGCTTTTATAATAGAACAGAAGCTATTTTCTTATCGAACTTTAAAGCACAATTGCATGACGAGTTTGAAAAAGCTTGATGAATTTGCAAGCATTGTAGCTTGAAAAAAATTTGAACTAGCTGTAATAAACATTGTATACATGATAGTGTCGGTGAATAGTACGATTAATACTAAAATGTAAAAAAATCGGCTGCTTGCTTGTTCCCTGGAAACGAGAATTTATGGAGCCGAATTTTGAAAAATATTTAACTCTGCATGTTTCGTAGATACCTAAATGATTTTAATTTTGCAAATACACTATAACGTATATTATAGATGTGCATATGCGACGTATTTTAAAGCTGATGAAAAGGGCATATTTTTTCCTCTGTAAATAGTGAGAATGTATTCCTCATGTTTGTAGATTATAAAAAGGTATAAAATACATATATCAAATGTTTAATAAAGTTGTATTGACAAAAGTTGAGAAAAAAATTTTCAATCTATAAAACAGTACTTAAGGCGTCAACATATTGATGTCCAATGAAAAAATGTAAAATAACGAAAAAAAAAGAAAAAAAAATAACCGACGACGCAAGTTTGTTTCCGATTGCAAGGCTTATTGTATGGATTCATCGCTATTGGATCTGTCAATAATATACATTCATATATATCCAACTGGCGTAGAATGTAAATATTGGATAAAAGAAATTGCTTGTACCGCTTAAAGAAAACAAAAATAAAAATCGAGGCACTCGCGAAATTATTGAATGCAACAAAAAAAAACAGTTCATGTAGCGCTAAATTTCACTTATTTTTGCTGTTTACAATCACCAATGTTTTAAAAGCTATGCTCATAAAAAATTTTCTGTACATTATTTCTATTTAAAGGAGATCGCACTTTACTGCATTTTTGCGTCGCAGTGCATTGCACGTTAGCCAGGCAAAATGATTATCCGGTTATAAACAGAATCATTTTTGAATGTTATCCGTTACTCTTCAAACTGTGCCTGAAAAAGCATGAGTAAATATTCCTTTTGTTAAATTTTGTGAACCTGCAAAAAATATATGAGAACGTGAAAAAAGTGAAGTAACTATTATGATTATTTTGAATGATGTTTCAGGGTGTGTGATCTTTACGTTACCTTTTTTATAAGCAATGTATTTCAATGCCATTATCATGACATATATTTATCAATTTTTTCATTCATTTTTTTACGTGGTTCGAATAGGTACATGAGAGCCGGGTAAGAATAATTGAATTATGTACCATTGTTACATATTATATATTGTAAGGCTATCCGTGTCTTGTGTAAATATTTCATATTGTTTGATAATTGTGAAGAAAATATCATAAATAATCAGCAGCCAAAATGAAATCACGTTGTGATTATAAAACAAACAAATTTACTGACTATTTGAAAAGACTTGAATTAAAAAACCAAGAATCGTAAATTTTGTCAGAATAATCTTTATTCTGACTATATCCGATTCACACAACGAATTTTCTTCCACATTACTGTATAACCATTTGTTAATTGTAATTTTCATATTAATTTTAAGAAAATTTACCGAAACGCATGTAGTACCTTTGACCCAACCATCAACGTTGTTCTCTTTACCTGCTTTCTCCCTTTCTTCGGAAGGGTTAACGCGACTTTTTATATATGTGTACGAAACGTGTTTATGAAAAACTAAATGATTAAACATGAAGTCTATTTACTCGTAGATATATTTTCCTGATTCACAAATGTACCTTGACGAACGAACGACTGGGTCGCAAAGTTTTGAAAACTTAAGGAAAAAGTTCTTGAATTTACGACGAAAAACTTATTAACCCTTGTACCGTTGGATCGTTTATGTACATTGAGTCTCATTATGTGTCAGGTGATGTAAGAAACAAACCTAGAAAAAAATCTACGTGTAGATCTTATATTTTCGGAGCGTTATGGATACATTGTTATTGTATAGAAATGTAAGTTTATTTATCACTAATAAAAGAGAAATTAATAAAATCTGTCTTAGTTATTAATTACCTTTCAATGCAGGAATTGAATAATTAGACATCTGATTAAAGACATTTATTCATGATAATTTATTAAGTTTTGATTAGAATTACACGAAGAGAAATACTATTTTTTTATCGATAATGTATCGGCATGACATGATTCAATTCATCTTAGACTGCAAAATAGGAGCCTATTACCAAGAATTCGTTCGGGACTGCAACAAGAACTTGATATGCATAGCCCAGTTTTTGATTTAAAAAAATATCTTGAAAGCATGATTAAACCTGGACAATGAGTTGATTGCAATGCAAATTGAGTAGAAGAAATTTGTATTATGATTTTAACTTTGAATAAAAACATGAAAGAGCTATCCAATTCTTACTGCAAACTAGAGTGAACTTTAGGTAATATGATTATTTTTTCCATTCGCGTATAATTATATTATTTGAATAAGTACAAATGAATAATACTTATCGAATACGAATCACTTAGAATTTATCAGACTTTGAACAATAGAACTTATATGTTTACCTTGAAACTTGTAAACTATTAATTAACAATAACAACCAATACCACATTTTTGTGACATATCCACATTGATTGATGTGTTTATCTATCATCATTTTACACTTAATAAATAACAGACTCCTTAATTTAATTATGTTTACGAGAATCATAGTAAACATTTTTCATAAAGAAGTAATCAACGAGGTTCAGTCGTTCGATAATTGATTAAATGATGCCCAAGTAGAAGCAGCTCAATTTTCTTTGTAACTCTGTATGCTCAATCGTTTGACATATTATGCAACTTGATATGTATACGATTTTTTAAGTAGAATGTCAAAGTACGGATTGTAGGATAAAAAAAGTGCTTTTCGAATTTTATTTAAATAGCTATACTTTAATTAATAATATATATTAGTTAAAAATTGAATTTTTAAATATATCCGAAGATAAAATTCATTACGTCATTGAAAAAGACTAGAGTTTCTAAGTTAAATTTAAATATCAGACGACGTATAAATTATGCCGTAATTTATAGTTAAAAGTCTTTTGAAAATTTAAAATTCGTTTACATTTGATTGATATAGTAAGTTTTATTAAATGAGAACTCGTATTATATTATAGAAATCGATTTGTATTTATGCATTACGATTAAAGCCTTACAGTATAAGACAGATCAACAGTGATATTTTGTAACGTATTTATTTAGTAATTTACGATATATTAAGTAATAATTAGAGCATCAAACTTTCTCACAGAGGAAGTCATTTTGCGCAGCGTAGCAATTATTTACTTGATCAGAGAATCAAGTTTTGAATGAAAAAAAGCTCGTGTATTTATCGAAAAACCAAAAATTTCGAGGTATAATTTTGTTTTAGAATGAGAATCGCTCACAACCAACAATTAAAAACAGTCCCAGTACAATAATTTACCATTTGTATAGTATGGAATATTTTTAAGAGGAAAATGCATGAATTGACGAACGAAATCTTTTTTTTACTCGCATGGAATATAAACATGTTTTTTTTGTTTCGATGTCCAACCGATTATATTGCCTAATTCAAGAGAAAAGCGAGCATTTGTCCACAACATTAATTCTTTTTTCTTACGTATCACTCCTGGGTGATCTTGGATCGCCTTCAGATTCGAAGTCTTCGTATTCCTCTTCTTCCTCGTCTTCGTCGTCGTCGTCTTCGATGCCCGGCTCACCGAGCGCTCGAACAAATTCTGCAACGAAGAGAGTTTATAGTTGTAATAGCTACTTGATCAAATCTCTCAGGGATTTCCGATGAGATTGCAGTACATTTCATTTCATCGTACGTTTTGAGAATACATCACGAATGAGTATCTAACTTTTGTTTCGAATTAATGCTAAAGCTCTCGTGTAATGTCTTATCAGAGGTAAGAAACTTTGGTCCCTCGCCTCCACGATTCATAATTGTTTTATAATTGAGTAATTGCACGACGCGAACGTGATCAGTACGTCGTTAGTTCTTAAATCCGACAGAATAAAAAAATCACAAGTACCGAGCGAAGTAAAAACGTCGGATTATTATTATATATACTGCACGGGCTATCTCAGTGAGAAGAGAAAACGAGACTGTCTTGTCCACGTATTCCAGGTGAAAAAATTCATTTCACGAACGGAACTGCGTATGAAATATAAAATATGTGTTGCACTTCTCTATCGAGCGTGTGTATACGTATCGTCGAGAATTCATTTCTTTTTCCAGATCAAAGCCCAATGCAGTGCAGTCTGTACGATAGTGCCGTTGACATTTTTCGCGACGTGCACAACCGATCAGCTATAGCAGAAAATACATAAGTTCTTTTTTTTACCATAGAAATCGATTCGTCCGTCGCCGTCCACGTCCACTTCCTTGATCATGTCTTCGACTGACCGTAGTAGATAGGCGTAGCAGCGGCGGCAGCAGCAGCAGGAGTGATTATCGACGTTTGCACATGGGTTGCGAGAAAAAAAAACAAATAGAAGATAAACATTACATCGCTTTTATTATTTAATAATAAAAATAGTTCACTTCGCGCAGGGTGAAAATTTTTCTTCCTCTTGACGCGAGGATTTTTAGTTATTGCTTCGAACGTGTAATGACGGAGGATACTTTCACGCGCGGTTGACAATTCACCGTATTAAATGTTCGAAAAGACAAACGGTCTCTACGGAGGACGCATTTTATGGATTTATGGATGCGTGGTACCCGTAATACGTACAGGCTACATCGAGTCCTACATACTAAATCGACCAATAATAAACTTTACGGCAGCCGTGTCTGTAAAAAGATCAAGTTTTATCGCTCCGACTCGTTTTGAATAAATCCGGGGTGGGGCGCTTTTTGCGACTGTTTAATCAAAAACTCAAAGTTTATACGTCGACGCTGGCTTACATATTTCGATAATTAATTCATTTCGGCAAAAACATCTTTGCAGCAACAGCAGCGCCGCCGCTATGTAAGCTCGAGCAATTAAAGTTACAAAATAGTGACGTATGCAAACGCGAAGCCGCACCGGGTAACAGCAGAGAGCCCTGCGTTAAAATTCACACAAAAGCCTCGCCGGCTTTTCGTTAATGAAACAGGCAGTTGGAATTTTTGTGCTCGCGTGTGCGACTCTAATGGCAATTAGAGTCGAGAAGGATTTGAAATTTTTCTCGCTGCATTTGGTCGGGACTTTCTTCGTAAATTAGACGTTAACTCGATTAAAAAATTTCATACAGGCTTCCCAAATGCCTAAGAGATTTAAAAAATAAAATGTAAGCTGGTAGGTATGTGTTGTCAAGTCTTTAAGATGGTCATATTATTTTTTTTTTAAATGTATCCGGCTCCATACTCGTCGACGTAATTGATTATTTGAAAGAAAGCTATATTTACGCTGTGTTCAGTATTTCAATTTTTTCCATACTCATACGTTAATTTAGTTCGGTAAAACTTCAACTATGGCAGCGAAAATTCATATGATTGATTATATATGGGTAAGAAAAACACAAACTAGTTACTGTTGGTGAGAAATTTATTCTTCGCTGGTTCATTTCTCCAGAAACTTTTGCGTTAGACAAGTTTGTGCATGTAAAAGAAAACGCATATTGAAGGAGATTTTTTCATCCATTTGCAGAAATGTATTCAATTGTTTTTCGAACTCGGGCTCAGCATATTTGTCTTTTATGCTTTTTTTGCACTGGCTTGTCGCTTTTTAACGAAAATGAAGTACAAGGGCAATTTTAACGGGCTCGGTGTAAATGTTCGTCTGAGAAAGGTAGCAAGGCTTTAAGCAGGCAAAGGGTAGTAAATTTTTTGATTAGATTTTTGCAAGGCTAGTTTGATCTACTTAACGAAGTGTAGCATTTTTATGTTTCAGCCGTGTACAGTTCAATTAGTCCGGTCGTTAGGCGAATTTATTGCTCTTGTCTATGAAGCTACCTATGGGTGAAAATTGTTTTTAATGGAATTTTCGAGTATCTCTTGAATCAACACAGATATTAAAATGAACAGCCACATTCGGCACGGGATGCGCACATTTTTTGGAATTTTTCGATCGGCGAGTTATTGAGCGAGCAAAAAAAACAATTTTACCTCGCGGATCTCAACGAACGATTAAAGCACACGCGGACACGTGACTCGAGCCAGCACATGCCATAATAAATCATAAATAACAGCGTTAAAGCTCGAGGGCATGTCGTTTGATTTAGCTAGTCTCTAGGGTCTTGTTCGGCGCAATATCCTCCGACCGCTCGCGCAACGGACCATCTCTGAAAACGTATGAAAAAAAAATTTAAGGCGGGCAGACGTGTGGCTTTACGAGGTGCTAAAGCTACTGCGTGTAGCTCGACGCGGCGCTCAACAGCCCGCATAACTCGCTGGGTCCTGTAAATCGCGACGATGTTGCGGATTATAAGCTCACCACTGCGGCGGTGGCGGCGAGCTCGCTTCAGGAAGGGGCAATTTTCGGAGCTTTCTTAACCGAACGTTATATTCTCGGATAAATTAAGTCGAGTGCGTTATATTTCAGGTGCGTGATTGTGTATACTCACTCTCTTCCTCGGACAGATCTTCGCCCAAGCACTGGAGCACTGCGCGCAGATCCGATGCCGTGATGTAGCCTCGATTGCGTTTGTCGAACACCTGTAGTGGGCAAATATATTATATGTACGGCGTTTGTATACAATAGCATTGATTGAAGCGTAATTCACAGCTGCAAAGCCGGGATTATTTGTTAATCCACGACGAGCTTTTACAATAAACAGAAGCTATTAGAGATTATAAACCGCAAAGTGTACACGTTCAAGAGCAATCCCAGTGGGATAGGTTTATCTAAAGATTTATCTGAGCAAAATATGGTAAATAACTGTGGATGAAAGTTATAACGACAAAAAAAGAGCGCTACGAAATGTAAGAATTGTATAAAGCAGCGCATTTAATCCTGCTGAGAAATGAGAGATTGCGCTACGGCACGCAATACCGGGCTATTGCGTGTAGCCAGAAACCCGCATACATAACAATTGTTCGGCCATCAAGGGCTCTGCTACTCTCGGGAATGCCGGACGCAGCAGAAGCAACGGCTATTATCTAAGTTTGCGTGAAATTTTACTCGAAAAGCAAAGAAAAATTCTCGTTGAATGAGTACACGTATATACGCTCTTGGTCTCGCAGAGCCAAACCTCCGTTTTCTTTGGCTCACTCGGTCTAAAAATTACTCGGTCTGAAAAAAGCTTGCTCGGCAAAATAACGAGATTTTTCACACCACCCCGAGACCGAAAACACTCGTAGGCCCGATTAATCCTGAATTAATAAGCTTTCAAAGCCATGTATAGATGCATAGGCGCGAGCGAACCCGGCAGAGCAAATCAATTTGGATCTTATTGCGCGATAAATGAACGTATTATCGGTACGCCCGCGCGTGTATCCAATTCACGTTCGATACGTACGTTCGAGAGCTGCAGTTCTCTCTCTGCCTCTGTCTCTCCGGCGCAGCCGTGCAGCCGCGCGTGGGTGGCTGCTACGTATACGTACGTCATGCTCCACGATATACGCCAATTTCTCAATGCCGTTAAAGCTCTTCCGGGCATTTCTGCCTCGCGCGATCCATGCAAATTCCACGCTTCTCTACGTATCGGCCTGTTGCAAGATTACCCTTGGGGAAGGGTAAGCGTTTCCTTATATGCGTGCAAGCTCTCCTATCCTCGGTTATGCTTAGCTAAGTGTATCCAATTGCACCCTGCGCAGCGTCTCCGCGCGTCTTTTGTTTCCTATATCATATTGTATCTTTGGCCCTCTTTTTTCCGACGCTGTACATGCACTCAAAATTATCCGTACGAAGAATAGAAATGTTTTCAAAAGCCATAGCGACAGTCAATAAAGAATATGCATTCAAAGCACGAGTTTTCAAGTCGTTTTTATCCGAGCGAAAGTCGAATAGGCGAGTCCCTCGAAGGAAATGAAAAGTTGAAAAATCGTATATCCTCCTCGCTGATCAGATGCTTCTTTTGGATATATCCTCATTCTCCGATGTCAAAAGATCGATTGGCCAATAATATGGGGCCATTGCAGAGATTGATCTTTCCATGGGAGAAACATCAAAGCTCGTTGCGAGGCTTTTTTACTCTCGCTTGTCCGGCTAATAGGTTCATTCTCTATTTTATAAAAAAGAGACTCATCGCGGTGATGAACTCTTAATAGCGCGACGGGAAAACTTCTTTTGCCCTTAAGAGCTTTTTTCTTTTTTATGAACATCATTCGACGCAGTCGATAAATATTTCATAAAAGAAACACATACTTTGGCAAGTTTTGACAAGGAAATCTCAATGCGTATACGCGAGGCCAAGTCTCGACACGGCGCGAGATATATTACCCGCTGCTTCTACTACTCGTCTAACAATGTTTGCCTCGGCAACTATGGTCTGTATTCAAATCTTTTCTCTCTTCGGCTCTTTTCTAACTTTGAAATTAAATTTAGTCTCTTCATCTGGACTCATAAATGCCCAAGTTACTTTTTCTCGCACAGATTTTATTTTTTTGCCTCTCATAGCAGCAGCAGCAGTAGCAGCAACAGTAGCAGCAGCAGCTGAGTTAATTAAAAACGAGAAAAGCGAACTTCTTCAATATTTCGAGGCAGTAACGCTCTTTCTATCCGTCGATCGACGAAAAAAAGTATCGCGCGCACGCCAGCACGGCTACGGATGATTACGCGCGCAATCCCAGGCCATTATTTCGATAATTGGCGCGCCTCGTGCCGCGTTATCTAAGCGACGTGGAAATCAATCAGAAATACGTATATATACGATGCAGGCAAACACACATGTGCGCGAGAATATAAGCGAATGCTCGGAGCTGTACTGCGAGCTGCATAAATGCGAGCGCGATCGAGCGAGCATACGCCCCCGCGCGCGCGCGTGTAATGGGAGCTTGCGGTCGTCTAATTCCACGCGTGGAACATCGATGACATTTTCCGATGACGTTTCACTCGTGTGTATGCGCGCGCGCCCCTACTGCATAAGCAAGTCGAAACCGCAGCGACTTCCTCGTCGCACGACGATTCTCCAGGGGGGGCCCAGCAGCAGCAGCAGGAAGCTTTTTCTCTTCGCGCGACTCGTTGGTATACGAGCAAAAATTAACGCCTCGCTGATTGCAATTTTCGACTGCAGTGTGACTGCACCAGCCAACGCCACTCCGAAAATCGAGGCAAATTATTCTAATGATTACGCATGTAACCCGAAATATTATCTGTGTATCAGTCGCGTAACTGCTTCACGGCTGGCTCGTCGCATCGATATAATACTCTATTTATATTTGCGATTCATTGAAACAGGGATTATAATACAAGTTATGCAGCATCAAACAATATCCGCGCCATAAAGCCCGATTATGTGCCGTCTTCAATCGAGCGATGAAAAATACAGTAGCCATTAATATTCCCAATAATTAATGCAATAAAACGAGCCGATGCTCTTTTGATTAATATTTAAAATTAAGACGAGAAATGGAAATATATAACTCACGCGTTCGAGAATAAAATATACATTTTTGTCCGCTTTTCCTTTTATTTTGGCTCGTCGAAATGCACACAGGCGCTCGCGCTCACACATACACGTCGCATACACGCCAGCTAGTGTACCCTTGCCAAAAGAAAAATGGTATCCAGATAAACTAGCCTTCGGGGGATAGCAGCTCGAGCATAGCTGCCTTTTTATCGATGAGAAAAAATTTGTCCTTTTCTTGTTTGGTTTCGATTTTGCACATTGATACGCGTTCGAACGCGGCGCTCGTGTTTGCATACTAATGTGAGAGCTTTACAGCTTGTAGCGACCCGAAAAAAAACAGGAACAAACGATTTTGTCGACGCGAATGGGATCGGTTGAATTTTCCGCGTTTCCAAGACGAAATTACGAAACAGGCTAGGCGTGTAAAAAAAGGTTTATTCCCGCGGATCGAGTAATTAAAGCGCTGCTTAATTGTTGTTCGCTGCGCGAGGGACCGAGGGAGGAAGCTCGAGTTGGTAATATGTGTACGTGTCGCGATTACCTAAATAGTGCGTCCCGTGGAAAATCGCCGAGCGACTGCATTTACGCGACCTTCGTTAAACCAATTCCTGGATTGGTATGCATGGAAGCAGAACAATGCATAGATGAGATTGCCTATTTCGGAGCATATTATACGCTCGCTAGTCTATCGAGAACTAGCCATTTTTCTGTCGGCCTGCAGCGCTACACTACGCCGAGCTATCTGTAAACATTGATTCATTGGACATCAATATAGTAGCTCTCGTATTTTGATGACCCAAAAAAAGAATAAATTTGCTAATCTGACCGGGAGCTGGAATTTTCCGATCAGCTCGCGCGCGCTAAGCGATGGAATATTTACGGCCCGATGTTTTATTGCACTTCAGATAGTCTTCGTGTGGCTCGCACTACCTAATTCGTCGTTGGAGCAAAGATTTATCCTTATTTTATTGCTCGCAAAAAAAAGTCTCGTGACGTTAACGTAAGAACATTTCTGTATCATAGCCATCCTAAACGGCCGCTGTGTATATTTCGATTAAAGGAGTAGCTTAATATTTTATAACTAATGTCTCGCAATTTCGTTAAAGGACTAATGATACCATAAAAGTTAAAAGGTCTTTCCACCTATACGTGCTTCGTGTGTATAAACATTCATCATTTAATATTTTCTGTGCAAGCCATTACTTTGCTATTTTTTCCGAGCGTGCAACTTTATAAGCTCCGTTTATATATCCCGCAGCGGTCGTTTAGCGCTTGTTTTTTTCCTCCCCTCAAAGCGTATGCGCACTTCAGTGTGTGTGCTACGAGCACGTGCGTTAATTGATATATTTTTGTTAAGTGCTGCGAGTCACGCGGTAAAGCTCGGGCACAGATTTCTTTTTCGCGCTCTAGCTCGAAACAATACGAAAGCTCGCGGTATTTGTCGCGCAAAGTGGGCATTGCGGAACGTGTATGATTAAACTTTTTCAAAACCTTACTTCTCAACCATATCGATTGGGTTTCGAGTAATCTGTGAATGGCATTTTTTTCCTTTACATTTTCAGCGGTAATGAAAATTTTGTAACTTGAAACGAAATCGTGTGCAGTAATGATTTCATCGAGGCTCGACTGCGTATAAATATTGAAAAGAACGTACGTAAAAATATATGCTTATCAAAGGCAGCCAACGCGTCGACTCGGCGTGCACTCGATTTTTTTTACTTTTTTATGGATACTAAAGAAGGAAGTGGGCTCCATACAGGAGATCAATTTTCACTCGACGCGAAATCACATTGGCATGGCGAGTGCGGAATACATCGCTCTCTCGTGAACGAGTATAGCTGTCCATTCGATATGACTTGGGGACGTTTTTTTCTTCGTATACTTCGCTCGACCCAATCAATTTCTTTTACCCATGTAAGTAACTTTTTCTCTCCTCTCTTGTATGTATCCATACGTATCCGATCTTCGACTCGTCGTAACTCCCGCTTTATTTTTTACTCTGCTCTGTGGCCCCCTTCTTTTTTCATTTACTCCCTTTACCGCGACTTATGCGTGAGCAGCTCATAAGTATGCTTTAGCCGAAGAAATTTTTTCCTCGTATTTTTTTAGCATCGCACAGATTAAAATATCGACTAAGGGGCAGCAGTAGCAGCAGCGGCAGCAGCGGAGTTGCACCGCTAAACTCTTTAGCTAAAGCCGGACGCGATGCAGAGACGAGTCATTCTTCATGTTGTAAGCTTTTCTCGAGGCTCCCACCTTTTTCATACGTGTGATACGCACACAAGGGAAAAATTCTCGTATCTATGAGAAAGAGAGAGGGAAAGAGATGTATTGTAATTTTTTGAGCGCAGTTCATGTAAGGGTACCTAGGCGAGATGACAAATCTCCTTTGTATGCGAGTAAGAAGTCAAGTGGAATTCGCTAGAAACGAGCCTTGGAATTTATGAATATTAAAAAAGTGCGCGGCGCAAAAATTTTTTCAATGAAAACTTATTGATAAAATGACTGCAGTAAATACAAAAAAAGAGAATAGTAAAAAACTCAGTCGTAAAGGTATTTCCTCGAATGCGACAAAAGGTCTCTGAAAATTTTTCTGCAAAAATTTCACCGTTTCATCCGATGATTTATGATGAAGCATATAATACGCACACTCATGTGCGAGCAGCTATAGCTTACACATATGGAATAAAAAAATCACACCAACTTTTCCTCAGCCAGCACGATCGTCAAAGTGCAACGAGGCTCTTTCTCGAGGCGAGATCTTTCTTGAATTTTTTTTCTCTCGGTGGATCGTGCACAGTTGCGTGCGTTTAGCACCTGCTCCTCGTTGCAGCCCGATCATTAAAATTGCTCTATTCCATGCGTGTGTGTGTATGTGTGCGTGTGTGTGCGCGGAGGGAGGATGCGAGTTAGAGAGGCCGCAAATCTATAGGCTCGCTCAGTGACTCCATTTTTCCACTCTCCTAGAGCTTTTTTTCTATTTTTTTTCTCTCGCTCTCGTGTCGATCGCTCTTTTTACCGCGCCTACTTGTACTAGTGCGTTAATTAGGCCGTGAGTATTGATTTTAAGTAAAGCATTTAAAATTAGCTTCTGCTTTGCACCGTAAGCGATGAACGTAACTTTTGCCATTCTGATTTATGTTAAAATAATGCTTGACATCTTAAAATTTTTCTTCATTCAACTTTCGGAGAACTCAATTAAAAACAAATAAAAGATTTTTAATTATTCTTTCAGTTATCTTATAAAGCCCTCCCAGCACAATTTTAAATTGAATTTTCCGATTAAGACGGTACGCCGTGTATTTCTAAGAATAAAGTTATGTAATATTGGTTGTTTTACGCAAATTCATGCAGTCCAGAATTTCATCCTACAACAGCTGCTTGAGTGTCCGTCGGTATACTTACGTTATAGAAAAAAATTTGTTTCACGCACAATGATCGAAGGCGAAACTATAGTGAATATCTTATCGGCTTTTGTCCTGGCGATTTTCGAATCAACCGTTCGTATGATTTGATTCAAGCTCAAAGCTCAGCTGCAAGAGCATGAAAGGGTCGAGAAATCGCAAAAATATACTGTAAAAAACGTTCGATGGTATGTGAGAGCTGCTGGTGTGCTTGTACGACCATTAGAGATTCTATTGTGCCGCATTTTTTCCTCATATTTTTAAAATGAGTTTGGATAAAAATACTTTTTAAAAATATGAGATTTCCAAGAAAAAAACGTCTATTGAAAAGTTATTACTTATTATAAGTAGGATTAACAAATGAAAACTATTGTGAATAATCAAAAAGTTGTGTCAAATAAAAGTAGACTTGAGAATGCGGAAAATTTCAACACACTATATGGATTTGAATTTTGTGCGGTGGTAAGTACTTTTGGAAATAATTCGCACCTGTAATTCTGGTGAAACGACAAAAAGTTGCACGGGCGAAATTTCGCCAGAGCAAAGTCGTTATGAGGTCTGGTTCACTTGCGTATATGCAATTATGCGAAGCCCTTCATACGAAAATTTCTATACCTTTTAAGTACAGTTTATTATTGACTAATTGAAATGTGCGAAATGTTTAGAATTTTACATTGAAGTACTTATGTCTGAATTTTAATCCTTAAAAAAAATTTTTTTGTTATTCAAGTTAAATAATTCAAAGAATTACTGTGTCAACACGCGGGATGAAAAGTGGTCGTGCGAACGAGTCCAAAGCAAAGTCCTGCTTGCGGTAGTAGCCATCTCGACTTCTATTCTTTTTACCTCTCGCGTAAAACGAGGTCAAAAAAGTCATGTTGCGTTGTTTCGTAGCGCGAATTACATTTAAATTTGATTCTTTTAAATTTACGCTTTTATACCTCCGTACTGTGCGTCTGAATAATCGTAGTACAGAAGTTGCTTCCGAAATTTATATTATCCTTTCATATTATGATGTCTAAGATTTATTAAGCTTTAATGTAATTGCAGGTCCAGATTAACATCAACCATAATATTTTCTTTTTTATCATTTCTTTTTTAATTACACTAAAAAGAAAGAAACTCACCCTAAAAGCATCGCGAAGTTCTTGTTCCTCTTGATCTTGACTCGTTGGCGAGGACGAACTGGCGCTGCCGCCGATATTGCTGGCTATTTCGACGAACTCTTCAAAGCTGACATTACCGTCGCCTATAAAAGCACCAAAAAATTATACGCCTGTGATAATTAATTTTGAAAAAAAAGTTTTTATTACTTTTAATAAAAGATAGTACATGTAAAAAGTGTCTCTCGTCCTCGGGCCTTTGGGTAAGAAATTTTTTTCTCTACTTTTACGAGAGCAATGGCAACATTTTTTACGATTTTTCAGAGCGTTATGCTATTATCAGACAATAAAAATAACGCACCACTTTAATGCCTCCAGTCGTAAGAAAAACGTATGAATTCGTGTAAGAAAAATTTTAATAATTTCCGAGGTAATTTACTCGTTACGTGAATCAAATTTAACACTTGGTTATATATCATAATGGTGTCGTGCATTTAAATCATGATGAACGAGATGTAGCTGTCCTTTGCAGTTGTAAGATTTGAGCGATTCGAATGAAAGGACTGTACACTTTGAAATACTACTTGTCTTGTTCTGAGAAACCTTTGAAGGTACAAAACCACTGACGATTGCCTCGAGTCGGTGGAAATTCGCTGCCGTTTTGGCTTTTCGATGTTCTCAGTTGCTCTTTGACATCAGCTGATTAGGAGCGATTTATCGAGTCATTGACGTTGGTATGCGATCGTTGAAGTTATATACCCAGGCAATGATGAAATTTAAAATATCTCGGGAATTCCCGCGTCAAAAAGACTAAATTATATCATCCGTCAACGCCACAGCCGAAAAGCAAATGTCATTGGGATTTTACCGCAGCAATAATCCGATGGCTCGTCTAAAGCTTGAAAAACTTCCCTCGATTTCGTCTCTTGTAGTAAAGATAAGTTTGTCGAACATTTCTGGTGGTTTAAGAATCGATCGATAAAACGGCTCTCAAGCGACGCGATGTGCAATAATATTTGCAATATCATTTGCATTCGCTTTCGATTTTACACAAGAACATCCTTGCCGTTGAGTCTACATTGCGCTTGACTCGGCTCTTGTATTGTTTACTCAGGTTGGAAGCGCTCTTATATACGAGTCGCGGAAAAATGCGCCGAGTCGCTATTAATTTTCATTCTTAAAAGTGGTAAGAAATTTTACTCGACTAATGAATAATAATTCACAATAGTCGTCGCCACGACCTATTACGCAAATTTGAGGAAGATTAAACGTAGTGGCCTTGTTTACCTTTCATTATCATTTGTTGCAACGGCAAAATATAAGAGCTTATTTTTGTTCTTATTTCCCCGTTTCCCTCCCCAACCCATGCGCGCACTCGCTAGCGTCTTTGTCTCATTCCACGGAAGTAGAAATCCTTGAAAAGCGGCGAATATATCTCCAAACCAAATACGCAAGAAAGAATTATGTAGACTGTAAATAATCAAACAAAAAAGAGAGAGAAAGAGAGAGAGGAAGTAAGAAAAAGAAAGAGAAAAAGGAACGCGAAGGAAAATTCGCCACTAGTTATCTGGCAATATACACTCAAGTGAAATTGGTCCTGTGGACACAGAAATTGTGAAAAACTCGCTGGTGTAAAAGCTCGTGTAGTCGAGGTTGTGGGGTGCGAAGAATAACGAGAATTACACGTATGCAAGGCAAAGGGTATGTAATACACAACGTGCCCTTTCAGACTCTTGAGAGCTTTCTCTCTCTCTCGTTCGTCGACAGTTCCAATTCAACGAATGGTCATTTCAGCTCCGGGCGTCACCTTACGAATGAAGCCAAAGGCGAACTACTACTAGCTAGCCTCGGACAGGTACATTTTCTCCTGACCCAGCATACACAGCGGATACGATACGCGAAATATGTTTCACTTTCTCTCCTTCTCTCGCTCCCGTATATACATAAAGCTCAACTGCAAGCACAATAAATTTTGGATTGCGAATGGTGAGATTTTGCACCTGTACTACACAACTATCCCCCCTTTCTCTTTCTCTCTCTCTCTCTTTCCCTCTTCTTTGTACTCGTGCATTTCAACCTGCAGTTCTGTGTTGCTTTACGTCTGATTAAGAAGGGATTTATCCTCCAGCAGCCACTGACTGTATATAACCATTCACAAGCACAATGCGTATAACTTATGTAGGTTCTTAAGCCGCTTCGAGATTTTTAATTAAAACGTTTGATACACGTGTTTATTTCTTCCCTCGAGTCTTAACGATGTAGCTCCAGATTTTTAGCAGTATACAACGAGATTAAAATCTTTTGTTTATTAATCTCACTCATCTGTTATTTATCTCGTTACTTTTTGCCCTGCCTTACTTTCAACGATATCGGATATAGTCATGTTGTGTTGACTTTTTCTTGGGATTACGTTGCTCAACTTTGCTTGACACATAAACTGTGAGCTAATTTTGTTGAATATTACCGAGGAATTTGATATTTCCACATGAACTTTAATGTATACAATAATAGTTTGTTTACAATCGATATTCTCCTCTGCATAAAATATGGCTCGAAGCGCAAAATCCTATTAAAAATCCGCATGTCGAAATAGCCTGCGGTATACTTTTACCCATCGTATAAAAATTTTGTCGTATGGGCATATACTTAATCCCCTAAATATGAGTTTCGTGGAGCCTTTGACAATTTTTCGATGAGCGACTAACGAAAATGATAACTTTCTTCCTGCATTGTGTAATATGCTTCGTTTGATTATGTCAATGTGCCTATTTGATATTAACATAAAATATTCCGGAAAACGGTTTAATATTTCGTGAGATGGAAGTATTTGACGCTTTTGTGGGTGAGTGTCTGTTTACCTTAATTGTCATTGAAATTATGCTGACGCGTATTATTCGCGTATAATTTGACTAATGTTAAATTAATCAGTGATTGATCGGGTCCATCAAGGGAAGCTAAAAAAAACGTTATTTGGTCCGCTACTCTCATTAGCGCCGACAGTGGGTTTATTTTACCGGATTCTCTACTTTTAGCAATTAGCAGCGATAGAAATTCCCCAAGCCAAAGTCCATTTGTTTGTTTTCATTTGGCCATTGTATTGTGTTGAAATGAAAAAATAAAATCGGATATGCTGAAGCTGCTTAAATTCCGTGCATATCTTCCATAGCGGCGCACTTAACCGGACAATGAAGTAATAATTACAATCTCTTACTTTTATTTTCTGTCTTTGCTGCGAATCGGGTCTTTTCTCGTTTTTTTCTTACCTCTTAATTACATGCAACTTTTTAGCCGCTTGTACAAAGTTGCAAACAAGCAAGGACTTAATGCTTCACGGAGATTTCTTTTTTGTACTGGTTAAGTGCAAAAAAAATTGTAAAAAACGCAGTAAGAAACACGCTATTAATTTCTAGACAAACAAATATTTGTTCCAGTTCGTTTTTCTTCGACTACCGAGATAATCCAGTCCGGAATTTCTTGTAATTGAGCTGTTCCTGTGCAAGTAAATGAGGTAAGAGATGGTGCATTGAAACGAGGAGTATCAAAGTATAACTTGAAGGTACGATCTACGAATGTTTTATCTTCTCTTTTTTCACTCTCTCGTGCGAGTACGTGATGAGAATGGAGATGTTCGAATTTTGACTGATCTATCGAGCTACTTGTTACTCGCTCGCGACTTTTTTTCATTCGCCATGCTGGAATTTATCGCCTCGTTTTAATTAAAAATTTCAACGTCTCGTTTGGCAGTTTTTCAGCATTAGCCAAATTTCTCACCCAGTGAATGTATGAAATGGCTACTTAGAACAACTTTTTGCTTTTATAAGGCCTGCACAGTGGCGGTGCCTCATAATCAACTCTGACATAGTGAGTCAGAGTAGGAAGTTTACTTAACCTACGCTAAAGAAGCAATTTCTCGCTAATTATTTGAAATTAATTTTTGTCAGGACAATGATGAGAAAGTTTACAAGTTTCAAAGCACACTGGATTTTTGCACAGCTGACTTGTGTGTATGCACCTGTACGATATAAACTAATGCAGACGAGAACACAAGTTGAACTCAGACCTCGATTTCTCGAGACGCTAGCATAAACTTGCCAAAGTCGCCACTACTGCAGATGTTATGTATTTCTATGTATAAGGAGAGCAAAGCTTGACACTCCGACTCGAGTCGTGCGAGATTTCTGCTTTTGTCTATTAAAATTGGCTTGTCATACGCACCGATACGAGGATTTCACCCTCATATTCGAATTTGCTCTATGCTTTGCTCGCTTCATATAAACCATACCGTAGAGACTAGTTGAATAATGACGAAAGCTCCATATTTAATCGTGACATTTATTGATTAACAGTGCCTGGGCTATTGAGCGAGCATGTATAAAAAATGTAGATTTTAATCGGCTATCCTTCAAAAATTTCCCTATTTGCACTTTCCGAGTGAAAAATTCTCATGTATATGCAAAAAAGTTTTGCTGGAGGTTCGCGCAACGCAATTCATGTAGCAACTTTTCCTCACGAGCTTCTCTTGCCCCTCGTCTTTCCGCAGAATAAAAACGATCAAGTCCGTTCTCCCTCGTAAAATCAATGCATTTTACTAGAGAAAAAACTTACCTTGATCAAAATACAGAATAGCTGGCGCACGCTAACAGGGTAAAAAAAAATTAAAGAAGGAATTTCAATGCGACGAGCTCTCGTCGCGCGAGAGTATCATCTCACTCGAGCTATGAATTTTGACGGCGCTGAAGGATCAAGATAAGGCTACGAATTTTTTTTCTTCATACATATCCTCGAGGCTTATGTGAACTATAAAAAAAAGAGAAGAGCGAAATAAACGCTCGGCGTCTATATACACCGCCGGCCATAACGAGTCAATTGAATTTTCCTCAAGCACAAGCTCGTCTTCCTTTTTCATATCAAGAGCGTAGAATTAACTCGACGGTGCGAGGATGAATGAGAAGTAATGTACACACAGTGGATGTACGGCCTCGGCCAAGGGTCTGTGTCTCAAGGTGGAGAGCCCGGCAAACTGTGATAAATGTTTATTCAGCGCCTTGGTTCCGGAGAAAAAAAAGGAGAATAAGAATAGCGAAAGAATATGTAAATAACGAATATTTCTCATGTAAATGCGTGCGTACGCGCATAAATATTCGAGCTGCGTTGAAAACCCCAAGAGCTAGATGGGCTCCGTATACGCAGCGGCTACTGGCACGGAGAAAAACTACTCTGCGCAGTAGTTACAACCTAACTATGGCCAGTCAAAAGCTTCGTTTTGTTGCGTCCCTTATGTGTACACGTGCAAGCGTACGCGTACATTCTCTTTTCTACAAGCTCGTCTTTTCGGGGTAATCGTTGTACTCGTTCGCCTTTCGCCGTAAAATACTGATTACCCATGTTTCTCGAGCCTTTTTAAGCCCGAGACGTACGTACTATACTTGCCCGGCTAATGGAAGAGCAACTCGAGTTTGTGGCTTTCCGTTTCGCTCTCTTGCTTGGGCGAGCTATCCCCGGTGAATTTATCATTTGCAAAAACTCAGAGGCGATCTTTGCTACATTGGCTTGCAGCAGCACTGCATCGCCGATATAATAATGAAGATTTTTTTTGTTCGAACTCAAAAGCGGCAAAATCTTCCCTCTTCTGTGCGATAAATTTTTTCGTGGGAATAAAAACGGTGCAAATGGAATTTCACGTCCAGCAAAAGAGACGCTCTTTAAGTTTGTCCATAAAAACAATTGCACTATAGCGACCGAGCTATACCATACATTCAGCAGCAGCAGGCTAGCAGTGCGATAAGACAGCGGCAGGTACGCGCGAGGGTGGAAAGAAAGAAGGAGAAAAGCCGGGAGGCAAATCGATGTGGACTATTTTTGATATTTTTCTTTATCTCCATAAAATACACTCGAAGGATTTTTATTTGAAATTTATTAGTCGGTAAAGCGCACTTTATCATCCTTTCTCGGGGTGACGCGGGCGCAAGGGCTACATTAAAACGAGAGAGGGCAGAATGACGCGCTTATATTTATAAACAGCACGATTGAAATATTTCATTGCGAAGTACGACGGTGGCAGCAGCAGCGAGAAAGGAAAGACAAATGTGCGGCACGTCAACGCAAAGCAGCTTCGTAATAATGCCTTGCTTGTATTGTGTTCGTGCCTCGCGCCAAAATAAGTCGCTAGCTTTCATGAGTAAATTGACCACAAATTGTGTGGCGTGGCCGGCTTGTTATTTTCAAGCCGCTTCTTTCTTCGGGGCCGCAGCGTGGCCTTTTTAACGAGTTGCAGGATAATACAAAAAGGAAAAAAAAAGAGAGAAACATCCGAAAAGCTTGGGAAATTAATGAGATGCATCGCATCGCCTAATTAAGCGAGTAGCGTCGACGTTTTAGCTTTCGATCGATGCGCTCGGCGTATTTTCGACGATGCTTCGAACGCATCGCTATATACGTACGTCCTGAGACAGGAAAAATAGAGAGAGAGAAAGTCAACATCGCTCGAGAGTGTATACTTGCCACTCGAGTAATATAGCCAGTGCGCGAACAAAAAAGCCGAGTGGAAGCCTCGAGTCTCTACTACGTTTATCCAAGGAGCTTTTTCTCCTTGCCAGCGCGCCGCGTCATATTTATGCCGCGGCAACATTTTAGGTATTCATCGCGTCTCTATATATATAATGTGGAGCGGCCCGTATACTATATAGCCCGTACGCTGCTCGCCATAAATTACCAGGTGTGTGCACGCATTTCGATTTCGGTCGCGCGCAAACTCGCTCGCTCGTCGGCTGCCGCGCATCGAACGCGTCCCTCGCTCTTTTCACAGATTATTCTCTGCGGCCCACGCTATATATATACGCCATGTACAAAGCAACAGAAGCAGCAGTGGGCGTATGGCTCGAGCGATATGAATAATGCATAGGAAAAAATGCGCTAAATAAGCGCATTTCCCATCATCGTCTTGGCGTCGTTCGCTCGCAGCTTGGCGGTGCAGCTTGGGTGTTTGTATCGGGCATTCGACGGGAAGGAGAGCACGAGTTCTCGTCCCAACGGCTTTATGACCCTCTTTACGTCAACTTTTTTTTCTCAATTCCTCGACTAGTGAGGCCTTCATTTATTTGCATTACGTTTCTATTGATAGAGACTTATTTTCAACTGCATAACGCGCCAAAATCCAAGTCTTTTATAATATTTTGAGCGACAGACGAAAAACTGACTTTGGCATGTTATATCCAGTTAAGTAGACAGGATTTTTGCCTTGCGATATTTTCAACGTCTTCATCCAATCAGAAAAAAAACCATAATAGTTATTGGGTACTAAAAACTGCTTTACATTAGATTGTCAGTCATTGTTCGTCACTTTTCAAGTCCTGGTGAACATAATTGGTATTTTCTTAATGATAAAAAATTACTATAAGTCTCACGTATTTGTTTTTTCTCGTTGCTGTTTTGAAAAATGTGATTTTTGAGCGAATAATACTCACCGTCTATGTCGATCTCCTCAAGCATAGTGCGAAGTTCTTCGGCCCTGGCGAATTGTCCAAGAGAACGCATGACCCGGCCAAGCTCCTCCTTTGTGATGCTTCCGTCTCCGTCTTTGTCAAAAAGCCGGAAGGCCTCTCGGAGCTCTGTGGACAGACGCGTGCAGCGTATGCTCATAAATATGTCAGGTTATGCTTATTGTCAATTAAGCGAGATATATACTATAAGTATCGTAAAAATTGAAGGATTAAAGTTTGAAGTTGTACGTGGATATTAAACAAAAAATTATCCTGCCTCGAAAATGTATGCAAAACCGTGATTTATGAATCGAGCCGTGCTGCCACTGAAGCGAATTTAATAACCGCCCCTGGAACGTGCGTATAATTTTAGCGCCGCTGATTTACGTTTTGGATTTCAGTTTTCAAAAATTTTCATATAATTGCTATTCGCTGCAAGGCCTTAAAAAAACTCTAGGACGATTTGTTAGTCTATCTAGGATATCTTTGAAAAAAAATTAAATAAATAATTTTCTCGTAGGTCGTGCGAATATATTTGTAGCACAGGTTTGTATCATTCATAAATTGAACCGCGAATGAAAAAGTTTCTTCGAGCGGCAAATCTAGCTGCTGCGGACGCAAATATTACTACGCAAGAGTGTCGAGGCTTAAAAAGTTCCAGCTTGGGCTCTGTGCATATTTCATTTTAATGGCAGCAAATTTACTCAACTTTTACAGGGCGAGTGCGTGCACGCGTTAATAAAGAATTTTTTACTTTCAATTCCAAAAATGAATTTGAAAGCTCTTGGTCGCAGCTTTAGATAATCGCGAGATCAAACACCAATTTCAGGTCGGGAATTCTCGATCGTAAGCACGCGTCGGAAGTAATTTTACTGACGATGCTACACATTGTTGAGGTAAACATTTTATTTTATTTTTTCATTTTACAGCGCAAAATACGTGCTCGAGCTGTATAATACATGTGCATAAATAAAACGGTCCTTGCGAGGCCGCAAAGTAGCGTCGCTTGTTTAATACACGCGTGTTCGGCCATCGAATGGTACGAGTCGGGATCGGTTTCGCGTTAAACGCCAGGGCACCCCCCTTTTAATGGCAGCTCGTTTCGCACTCGATTGCATTCTCACGTATAGACCACGGCATTTATGTGCAAGTTCGCAGGCGCGCACCCGATCTCTCGATTTTTTACACTCGCAACTATGTACGGCATCGAAAATCGTGTAAGCTTATGTCTCCTTTTTTTCTCGACCAGACAAGAGTTAAGCAATTTATTTATGACTTTTAATTATCAACTATATGGGTAAGGTAGCAACAGCAAAGTACACGGAAGAGTCACTCGCAAAAGCATAAATTCACTTTATATTAGATGTTTAAGGCGTTTTGCGCCCGCTAAGAAGAAGCCGGAGTGTAAGTATATATATAGGCGCTTTCGCAGGTATTATGAGATCGAAATGAATTATAAGATTAAGCCAGAGCATAGTTAGCTCGCGCTAAGCGCACCGGTAACCTTTTTCTTGCACCTCTCGCTAATTACGGCACAAAATCGTTATTATTTAATGCGTTTAAAGGCAAACGATCCGCAATTCTAGCGGAACTTACAAATGGATTTGGTCTATCTATTGTGTGCTTACTATCGTTCCATTAGCCTGTTTAATGTATCGATGCTTTAAATGCGATATTTTAATAGAGCTACGTCCGTTTCCAAATTGAATTGCGTCGAACTCGTGGACCTCCAGTCGTAAATAGACTATCCATATATGTTATGCGGACGAAACATATCTATCTGCTGTAAAACCCGATGCAGCTAATGAATTAATTCCACCTTGTCTCTGCGATATTAATCAACTCTCAAAGATGTGTAATCCTGTGAGCCGCTCGTGTACACGCGAGCCCCGAGCGCGCGGAAAACGTAAATCCGCTACGCACACATAGATTTTCACGAGGAAAATTAATGAAACGCGTAGCTCGACGTAAGCCATTACGAGTACTGTACGCGAGATTCACGAGCCGAGCGAGATAGAGAGAGGGAGCCGCATAAAATTGATACATTTTCAGAATTTTGGACACACGAGGAAATGGGAGGGAGAGCGAGATACGTGAGTCGCTCTCTTCGTCGCGCTGTAATATCACCACACCAGGACGTTGATGCATCTATATCTGGGCTGCAGTTCGGCAAAGTGGGAGAAAACGTATATATAGCAGCGGGTTAATTACATGTTGTTAGAGGATATGCTGCCACTGCTGCTGCACATGCAGTATGTAATGTAATTGATCGCTTTAAGCATGGCATCGGCATAGGGTGGATGGAGATTCGCTCTAGAAGGTGATTTCGTTGGGTAAAGCTCAAGATCATCAAACTCTGCAAAGCTGCTATATTTTGGTAATAAAGTGCGAGAACAGGCAAAAAACATGAGCGGCATTTTCTCATCCCGCGTGTGTACTCTTGTACTTGAATTTCGTGTAATCGCGCTCTCTTTTCAATTTTGTTTTCTTCTTTCTGCTCGATTATCGCTTTGTTTTTTCGGAGGAAGGAAGCTTAACGCGCTCCGAGGTTCTCTCTCGTATACCCATCGCAGCTCCGGTGTGTTTTGCAAACTCTTTATTTATCTTGTCTTGGCTGAATTTCAGTGAGCGAAACAAACTTTTAGCCGCGTATTTTAGGCACTTGTTGCGTGAAAATTTCGTTTTCTCTTTCTGCAGCTTGGCAAGCGCATACGCAGCGATCTATTTGATTTGCAAAATTTCCAAACGCAGGCGCAAAAACAGAGACAAAGATATCGCGCGAATTCTTTATTCTTCCTGCCTAGTGCATCTCAGAGGAAAAATATCCGAGGCGGAAACAATGGCGTGCAGCCTGCCTCGAAAAAAAGAAGAAGAAGAAGAAGATGAAAAAAAGCAAGCACCTGAGTGTATCGCAAACGATAATAACCGAACTGGGAATTCCATTCAACTGAAGCAGCGTGAAAAGTTCCATTATGAAGTATAAAAATCTGCGCGCAGCATCTCTCTGTTTCTAGTGCGCGAGTTGCGTGAAAAGACACTTAGCAACGCAATAATTCCTTTTTCTGCGCTTAGCGCTGGCAGGAATAAAAAAAATCTAAACTCGGAAAGATTCCCAACGCACACACTCGGGCGCGATACGAGCAAAGGAGGGGTAGGGGGGGGGGCAAAGAAAAACTCGACGCGCATGCAAATTGAGGATATGGCATATCTCTATTTTTTGTTTTTTCTCGCGCTCGCATTCCGCTGCTCCGTGTGTGCACCACGTAGCAAGCTCGAATATATGGATATTATATCGCGCGAGGCCGCCGTGCGTGCGTACGTGCGGACCGCGGCTCGTTGCGTCCAGTTGCGTGTCCAGTTGCGGGGGCCGCGCGCGATAAAACTTGATTGTACACACGAAACTAGAAGTGCTTTCGAGGCTGCGCTGCGCGCTGTTATCGTCGACGCTCGAAAGTATAGCTGCAAACTGACCATTGAATAAACAAGCCATCGAAATGTTCATCAGATCGTCCGTCTCTTTCTCTCTCTCTCTCTCTCTCTCTCTCTCATTGGGCGATGCGTGTGGTACGGCCCATACACTATCCTCGGAAATTGCATTAGCTCTCCGAGGCGAGCAAAAGGACGTATGGTTTATTCGTCCGTCTGAATCGAGTATGTGTGTGTTTGCGTGTGCCAACGTATTTACGTTGCTATATAGCGCTACTCACGACGACGACGAGCTAGAATGGGAAAGAGCTTGATGGTTTAAGCTCGGAATTGGATTTTGAGAAGGGCTAATCCAGCCGGGCATATATTTATCGATTTGATTAGGTTCGACCGAACGACGACCGTTTGATGTTATTGCGACGATGCGGTTCGATCGATTCGTCGCGCAGTCGAATTATCGATCGACTTTGCCAACTACATTATCTACATATTTACAAAAGCTCAAAAGTTGAAGACAATTTACCTTTCATTTGGGCCTTGGGGATGTTTGGCTTCTTGAGGGCGAGGTTGGTCATCAGCTGATCCGGCATGTGCGGCAGGTGGCTCGCTTTGACTTTTGGGACGGCAGCGGCAGCGGCGGCGGCACTTCTGATCTCCTCGTAGCTGGACCTGTTGGCCGCCGCGGCCGCCTCGACGCGGGAACAGCATGCCTGCTCGGCCGAACGTGGTGTGTGCTGTAGTGCGTCCACGAGAGCCCCACGCAAGTAGGACCGAGAAAAATAAACGTTTAGTCGCTGATGAGCTAATGAAAGACAAATAGCGCGAAAAGCCAATCGGAAGCGGGATTACCGAGTGTCGGCGATATTGTTCTTGAACTCGGCTCGACAGGCCAGCAACCTCGGCAGTCTTTTCAGGGCTCGGGAACTCGTACTCGGAGTATCTAGGCCGTGGCGGCACGTAATCCTTCCCCTTAGGCAGTTCGTAGTTGGTAGTCGTCGTAGAAGCCACTGGCAGTTTGCTACTGCTGCTCTTGCCGGCGATTTTCGGTAGCTGAGACTCGGCTTGAACTTTGTAGCCGCCTACGATTGGCTGCTGTTCGACCTTTGCCTCGTCTGGCTCGAGTCCCCTGACGTTATCGACGCTCGTACTCGTGCTCGTGCTCGCCGTGGCATCTCTAGTGGAGAATCTGCGAACGTTCAAGTGATCGCTGATGACGGACTTGAGCGAGCCGACGATGTCCGAGGGCGACGCTACCGAAGTGCTGCGACGGCTTTGGCCGGCGCCGAGCGCCTGTTGCTGCTGCTCGGCTTCGTCCTCGTTCGATGTTGTGCTGCTCTGACGGGTCTGCAACAATACGCCAATTATTTTAGCTTGCCATATCTGCAGCTCGTTGTCAAGCGCGCGCCCGCTCGATGCATAGTTTTACCAAGTTTACGCGGTTTATAATCTTATGGAGGAAAGTTTTCCCAACCGAAACGCATCGCGCCTCTGCTGTGCTATCGATACTCGGTTAATTGTTACGCGCTCGATCTGATGCTCCCCGGCAACCGTATGATTTCCGTTTAGCCGCTGCGGCTGGCAAACAGCCCAACTTTGATTGTACATGAATAAGTGATCTATACGCGTGGCAAATATGAGTCGGTTGTAGCAGCTCGTGCGCCCCCACCTGTGCATTATTACACGATCGGCTACAAATGCGCTTTAAACTTTGATCGATTCTCATCTCTCTTGCGCGCGCACGGGGGCTCATTCGTTACGTCAAAAATTTTGTAAAACATCCGAGTAAACAGCATTATGGCTCGGCGCCGATACACAGATCGAGCTTGCAGCAACAGAGCGGAATTGCGCTCGGCAATGGCACGTGCCACTGAGCACGCGTTCACTTTTTTCGATTATTCGATCGGAAATCTGCGTACACTCGCTCGATGTACGCGTGTATACAAACGCGCGCGCCGAGAATCGAAGGAAAAATACACGCAGAGAAAGAGAGTCGTATACCTATCTGGTCGGGGATAACAAACGCGCGAGCATTCGTTATAGTCGGCTGCGAGCTTGCGAGAGCGGGTAGTAGCGCGCCGCGAATGCACACACACACGCAACGCAGGCAATCATTTCTTTGATCCGCGCGCGGCATATGAATTCGACGGGCCACATGCACGTGCTTCGCTACGTGTGTATAAAAATACACATTTGACAGCTGAGTACGCGCGCACGTCGTATACAAATAATGGTATAATGTATACACCGGCGTCACGTTTTCGATTGAACTTTTTTATTTTCACTCATCCGAAAGCTCGTCGCGTCTAAACAAACTGCACTTTTATTTCTGTATGGGGATGGGAAACGCAAACGTAGCTGCTCTTAGCAAAAGCTCGCTTGACAGAAATGGCAGAATGATTTTTCAAAAGCAAAACAACGAGTGAGCTGCGCGTTAGGTTCGCGATGTAGGTAACTTGACGCGTCGTACATAAATTGCAAAGATCGGCCACCTGTAGCCTACGGCAGCAGCAGCAGCAGCAGCCGATAGATTAACATCGAAGTACTGCACTAAACCTCCGAGTCGTTATTGTATGGCCTCTCCCGGGCGCGCTGCGGAATTTAACCGACTCAATAGCTTTTATACTTTTCCGCAGACGCTGATATGACTACACGCCAAGCTGCTGCTGCTACCTATGGCGAGGCTCAAATTCTATCAACGGCGCCGCGTGTGCGTCAATCGAATCAATCCGAGCTCGACGCAACCGAGCTTTTACATGTCCTAGCCGCCAAGCGTGTTGATGCATACTTGTTTCAAAGCAAACGTAGGAGGGAATTTCCTGCTCGTACTCGTTCTCATCACATCAGCGTGTCCTTTGTGGATTTATTTCATTATTTTTCCAAGCTCAAGCTAGCGTCAACACAAAGACTATCACACGACTACGCGTCTACCTCGTGCTGTAATCAAGCAAAAATTACACGTTCCTCAACTCGAACGCTGACGAAAATTTATCAAATTTCCCATATTCACGAGCACTAACGCACAGATTTAATCAGTTTTTGAAAACACCCCGACACTGTGAAGTATAATATCTTATATATTGAACAATAACGCGCTAAACGGCTGCTAGTCGCTGGAACAGAACATTTTCATAATTTCACAAGTATAGCGAGCGAGTCTGAATGCTATAATAACCATCACTAGGGAACATTGCAGAAATTAAGGAATCTGCCGAGGTTTGGAGAGAGAGAGAGAGATAGAGAAAAAGAGAGGGAAAAAAGAAAAGCATAGATGCGCCGAGATTTTCATTGGTACACGGCGGTGCGGGCGTTTCGTTAATTAAGGGTCGCAAGCTCGCGCGCAGTGATGTAGCGCGTTGCCGCAATCGCGATAATGGCTTTCGGGGCCCTCTTTACGGAATTAAAAAAGGCCAATGGTTGCCACGTGCAACGGAATATGCGCCAGCTCAAACGAATTCGGACTTTTGCTATACGAGATCGATATAGATATGCGCGCCGCAAGCTCGCGAGAGCTTTTTCATCTTTATAGCGCTGAATAAGCCCTGATGTCGCAGCGTGTTTTTGTTCCCTTTCACTCATTACATAAGACCATCAATCCTCGTTTATTCGCACCTTTTCTGACTCATTCATTCGAGGCCTCGAGCTTGCGCAGGCTCTTCCTTTTTTCCGCACCGCACAGTCTCTTTTGCCCTCGATTCTATCACGTATACATTCACCACATCGATTCTCGTGTTTGTGTAATTTGAATCTCTCGCGTTCTAATGATTAAAGTTAGCACAAAGTTTCGTGCGAATTTCATCGAAGACACTGCGAGCGTCTTTGGCCAATCAACCGAGCGCGAGAACTCTCTTATTAGCAATTTCCAATCACAGCTGCTGTGCCGCGCTTCGATGCAGCTTCCCTTGGAGCCAAAATCACTGCATATAGATTCGCGCGGATATCTTTGTTTTCCGAGGATAACGAAGCAAAAGTTTCTTGCCCCGGCATAAACGAATAATAGAAAATAACTTTTAATGAAAATGTAATGGTAACCGTTTTTTTTTTAATTTTTTTTATCCTTACAAATCGAAGTTTTGTATTCTAATCGAATTAATTGTTACAGCGTCGTAGTGCAATGGTGTGAAGTAGTAGCATCCATGTTGCACGCGCATTTCAATATTTGTTCAAAGTCTAGGCGCGAGATGAACGTGTTTAGTTTACAGCAGCTGGGGAAATACAATTCGTAAACAAATGTGCAATAGTTAATACGTACACATTAACTTGAGAAAACTGGCAAGTTTAAATTAGTTCTAAAGTGTTGCACCGAGTCTCGCGTAACTTGAAATAAGATAAAGTAATGCGAGTATTGCAAGTCGTCGTAGAGCGACCTATGGCAAGTTTCGTTTTATTACCTTATTTCCAGATAATGCAGATTCCATTTCGTACAATTTCAATGTGAGTCAAGTCGTTGCCGCTGCGCACACTGTGAAAATTCGAACGCACTCCCTCGTGAGCTCACCTTTTCCCGAAACTTCAATTTTCGCTACAAATACGAAATTTGGCCGATCGATGGTCGTTTACGCTCGGCACGCCAACGCGTATATGTCAATTGTCATTTCCGTTATCACACGCGCGCGCGTTTAATAAGCATCATCCGCGCGTCGAGCATCGACATTCATTTCCGAAGTCGTTTATGATCTCGAATCGATGAATATGCGATACCGCATTATATTTTGTCTCTGCTATCTTTTGATGTTTGTGCCGATGAGCGGCATATTTGCTATATGTCACGAAGCTAAAGTAAATTGGCTTGAAAATAAATAGAAACAGTTGATTATTATTGTGATTTTTTTTGTTGATAAAAAGTGACTGAGTATACATGCGGCTGACTACTGCAAACGGAAAAACAATTTCAAGCTCCCAGTAGATCTCGCCTCCCTGGGGATAAATCTGATTGCATTGTCCAGATGAAATTTCAGAATCGATAATCGGAATGTTTTGTAAATAAGAAAAAAGTCCTATGAATAAAGAAAGAAAGGGGATAAAGAAAAGGATCGCATCGCGCACATGCCCAAGCAAGTAATTCGTAATCTCGTCGGGTATTTTTTTGTCGGTTGTGATTTAAGCAGCGCGTGCTCGATTTGAAAAGCATCTCCCTCTCGAAATTTACGGCTTTTATGGAGGGCATAACTTTGTTTTTCTTTGCCACCTTCTCCATCATAGCCGTGGCCCTGCACGTACTCTACTTTGCGCGTCCGAATCTAATAATAAAGCTCGTGCGCGAACCAAGAGCGAAGCGCTTCATTCACGTTGATCGGACTAGCTGGCGGTGGCAGCGGCGGCCTCTTCTTTTTACTCCGCGATTTTATAGCTGCACTCGAACCATTCAGTAGCGAAAGCTAGCATAGCAATAACATCGCAGCAGCTCTCGCGTACTTGTATAGGCGATATCGAGAGCAGTTCCGTACGATCGAGTTTTTTTCGCTCAAAGCTCGCGCGCGCGCCTCGCGTACATACATATAGCCGTCTATGTACGACGACGACGACTCTTCAGTTCTCTTTTTTAAAGTGCCGTAGCTGCCGGCCATTCGACGCGCATCGCTTGTCTCGTTATACGCCTTCGAATGTGCAGTGCCTTGTACCTACCTATCGTCTGGACGCGCGCGCGACATTAGTCCGACTCTCTCTCTCCCTTGTGATCTTTTCTCGACCTTTAGAAATCTCGGCTCTTTGACCTCTCGACTCGCGCAAAAATTTCAAGCACCTGTTCAAAGCTGTAATAGCACGGCAAGGAGTACGGGTCGTGAGCTGCAGTCATACCTGCCAGGCATCCCTTAAAATTAGATAAAAGTCTTCTAGCCCGAGGAAAAGTCCGCGGGCGCAACGTCCTCGATAATAGCTCATTCGGTCGGAGCACACGCCAATCGATACGTCGCTAGGTGTAATTCTTTAAAAGCTTTTATTCCGATACAGTTAACGGGCGACACGAGACACGCCGAGTGAAAAAGCTCATTAACCCATCGATATCAGCCGTCATTCGCTCATACATTTTCGCTTTAATTTTCACACCTATAACACGAGGCCGTCAAACGGAAATATTTCCCAGAGATAATCGGCGTCTGCATCTCTAACAGCTTCGAGCGATATAAATGCAGCCGAGGAGATAAGAAACTATTCGGGCATCTGCAAACGCGCAAAGCAAATTTCAAGCGCAGACTCGTTTAGGCCTGCAGTCCCATGTACATATATTCTATCTCTCTCTGTCTCTCTGTCTCTCTCGCCGGTAAACTTTGATATATGAGTATAGACCTCGGTGTCGCAGCTCGTATGCACACGATGCCAGTTATATATAGGATGATAGTACGCAC